ATTGACGTTTCTGAAACTTCTGGAACATGAAGTTATAGTCCAATACCAACTTATAAAGCAATTTCGACAAGAATCCTTAAACCGGAAGTAGTCGAAATAATATGCGACATTTTGAAAAAAACGTCAAAAATTGGTGTTTTGGGTAAAAACACGATTTCTCCGTCCGATATCAACGGATTAAACAAATTAAGGTATCATTTGGTCGGGCGGTGATTGGACCACTGAATGATACCCAATTCCTGCGGATACTATGATCAGGCAGCAAAATATGGCACGCTGAAAATCAAGTATTTTCTGATTTTCAGCATTTTTGGACGCCTGTATCTCAAAAACTACGCCAGCGATTTTTATGAAACTTTCTCTATCGAGAGACCTTGTGGTAGTCTTGTGTACGAAGCATTCCATTACGACTTTGAAATATCTGGAATAGGTGAAATAACGGACTGAAAATCGAAAAAAGTCGAAAAATCGTGAAATTTTGGAAAATGCTCTGCTATTTTTTTATTTTAAGAGATTTTCAAAAAAAGGTTGTATATTCTTATAGCTGACCTAATTACGATTCTAACGATGTATAATATGTATGTAGTTATTGAAATTTAATTTTCGGTATTTTAATTTTTTTGCATTGTTGGCACTTTTGAACATAGGATTTCTCAGGGGCATTTTATCTGATCAGATAATGTAATATATCATTACAGAGCCCTGTGGCTATTTTAGTGCCCAAACCGGCTATTAAAACTATTCCGACAATAATAACCATACCGGAAGTATTCAAAAAATGAAAAAAAAAGGTTAAAAACATTGTCGCACTTGCGAAAAAATTGATTTCTCCCTTAGGTAATAGCGGACCAAAAGAACTAAAGTGTCGTTGGATAGCCCTATTAATGTACCATCATATGGTATCTAAATAATACGATTTTGATGGTAAGGAAATAAATTATTGTATCAAGAAAAATCTAGTATTTTCCGATTTTTTTAACATTCTGAGACGCCATTTTCTCGAAAACGACGCCTACGATTTTTCTTAAACTTTTCTTACTCAAAGTCCTATCGGTTGTCTATATAGTGAATCCAAAATGAAAAGCATTGAAATAATATAGGTGGTCCAAAAATGGCCTCAAACTTTGAAAAAAATTGAAAAATCGTTAAATTTTTGGAAAAGCTCTTTGATTTATCTTTTTTTCCAAAACTACTCATTGGATGTTTCTGACACTTCTGGTACAGAACGTTAAGTATCCAAAGAACTTCATAAAGCTATCACGACAATGATCGTAAAACCGAAAGTAGTCGAAAAAATGTCCGATATTTTGAAAAAAAATTTTTTTTTACGAAAACCTTTTTTATTTATGAATATTTTTTGATGGTATTTTACACAGGGTTAAAATATCATCCTACTTGAGCAGAAATGAGAAAAAAAAATATATCTCGGTAATTTGCGTTAGCCGCCATCGGCTAATTTAGTTTTTCGTACCCAGAAAAATTATTTATTGTTCGATTTGTATAAAGCAAAGTTCATATGCTTCGTGGTCCCAATTGTAATTTTTTTTGTTACGGTGAAATTTTTCTGTCGGCAACGGAAGTGACGTAATATTAACTCTAACACCTCTGTTACAGGAAGTTAAGTATCTATTGGACTATCTTATGATACCAAATTCATATGGATACTACGAAAAAGCAGCAAAATATGGTACGCTGAAAGTCAAGTATTGTCTGATTTTGAGCGTTTTTGGACGCCCATATCTTGAAAACTACTCAAGCGATTTTTCTGAAACATTCTCTAGCGAGAGTCCTCTCGGTAGTCTCGTGTACGACACATTCCATTTTAAAGACTTTGAAATATCTTGAATAGGTCAAATAACGGGCTGAATATCGAAAAAAGTCGAAAAATCGTGAAATTTTGGAAAATGCTCTATTATTTTCTTATTTTATGAGATAACGATTATGTATTGAGTTATTGAAATTTTTGCCAATGAAATGATTCGTTGCAACGAGTGAGTATTCCACTAGAAACATCAACGCTATCTGGTTAATAAACGTCCGACGTTATACGAAACGATATATAGATCTGTATGTAATGTGATTGCTGTGTGGGATTAGGGGATTGTGCCTGGACCATGGTGTTCTTTGTATGTTGTCAAGTCCTCCATTCTACACCACTGTGGAGGGTGATCTGCTAAAACAATACTGTTGAAATATCTTGGTTTACATGCAATCGAACACAGGACCACTCCAATGTATGCGTGGGACCTTGGTTTTATTTCCCATTCAAATCAGGGCCGGTAGAAGTTCTTCTCGATTTGGGAGAGGCTTCCATCCTAGGTCCTTATAGGCGAGGGTCCAGGGGCCGCAATAACCTGGAGAAAAAGAGTACTTGCTGCAAAATTATTTTTGGGCGGTGACCCCCCCCCCCCCGTCGGGCCTGTAAATGACTGTTCCGTGCTAGACCCTATTAATTATAACAATGCACTTTCTTAGCCAATACCATGATCAAAGACAGGACCGCTAGGTCAGCCAGTCAACGCCTTACTCACCGAGCCACAACGATTTGTAAGGATTCTATTTTTTGTTCCAGTTGTGGAGTTATCTGTCCGTGCACAGGATGATATGACTGTGCATCCGAATATATTATGACCGAGGGTCAAATGATGTATGCATAGATCAATTTTATGGGGGGAATTTGGTCCAACGGCTTCACTATGACATACATTTAATTCTAATTCTGAATGTTAGGAGTCTGTAGTTGCCTACTATGACAAATCAAGTAATTATATGATGCCCCAATCAAAAGGAACAACCCTGTAAACCAAAACTACAACGTACTATGAGAGAAACCTTGCCCAGATAGTGGTTCTACAGTCTACTGTTATTTTAAATTCCAACTTCACAGGGATCTTATCATGCATGACAATTATGGGAGAGAACGAAATGGGGTTTAGCGTCCACTCGACACAAACTAGGTCATTTCGGGACTAACATATGTTTTTAACTTTATTTCAATAATTCGCTTGTGCGTAGGGGTCTTTAGGAAACACACGAGGTTGAGAAGGCGCCCGATCTCCATGCCACATATGCTCACACCTGGGATCGAAACCACAGCCGCAAGCCAGAGGTGACCGGCCAGCTAGAGGTCGAAACGCGGCAGTCTAGACCACTAGACCATCCCCACCCCACCCCACCCCTCCGGCAATTATGGTTTTCAATCCCACCCAAATGACTATGGGGTGTTCTTTAACGTGCATGGAAATGTGGGCTAAGGATGTCTGGTTTATACAAATGACTGTATGTTGTCTCTTCAGTGTCTTTATTTTACACCAGTAGCATGGACCCGCTGGAATAAACACTGTAAACTGGTATCATTTAATCTGGTATATTTAGCACTAATTTAGCATCTATTGATTATTGATGAATAACGATTAATTTTTGAACGGTGATCGAAAATTAAAAGCTTGAAAATTGGCCACTCGTTAACAAAATTGAATGATCAGCTTTAAACTGGACACAAATACAAATTAGATGAATATGTGAGATTTAAAATGACTTTCACGAATGTTTTAAACAAACATTTGATATCAAACGATTGTTAAAGAATTTAGTGCTAGATACACAGGATTAAATGATACCCAGATTACAGTGATTTCTGATGAACTTTCTCGGCTTACAGAGAATTGAACACAGGAACTCAAGTTCAGACAGGCAATGTCTTACCCACTGAGTATTGAGGATTTGGTTCGAGTTACAAGGGACCTTAGTGGCTTATCCATGTCTGAACAGTGAACACCTATATGTTGTTCCTTGTCAGGCTTTCCATTCTGCCCCACTGACAAGGGAGGAACCATTATGGAAAATCCAAAATAGCTTTCTTGGCAACACCAGCCTTGAACATTGGACCTGTAGGTTAGATAGCTACCAGAAGAGGAATCATAAGGACAGCCAACTTTAATTTTTCCAAACACAGATTACAAGTCAGGTTTTGCATTCTTTATTTATTTTAGATACAATAAGGAACCAGAATAAAGTTGAAGGAAAAACATTAAGATTTCAGCAAGATTCTTTAAAATTGGAAATAAGACATCTTTCCTTGAAAACCTGAAATACAAAATAGTATAAAAACTTTAACTCACTGAGATGCTATGAAAATTCACCTTTTATAAGTGATGACAGTACATGTACATGTATGAGAGTTACAGTTTTATTTACAATCCTAAATTTAACATCAACACATGTTTGCACTTACATATGAATGCACCAAAGATCAATTCCACAGACAACACCAAGTAGGCACTATTGCTTTAGTTTTATAGGGTTTGGACGCTACTGCACTTAGTTTACATATCATTGAGACTTACCATAGTGTTGATCTGCCCATCACCAAAAACAAAATAATAATCCAGTTTGAAAAAGTACAGGAGCTCCAATAACAGTCAATAATAAATGCTAAAAAAAATTAAAAAATACAAAATTATAATTTTGTAAATCAAATGATATATGAAATGGAATATCAATGAGGTTTTAATGTCCTACTGCTGCTTATAAAAACAGCAATGCACCATGCAGTAGTTTTTGGCATGGAATATGGCCAACTGCTATTTTGCTTTCTCACTTTCAAGGTTTTGCTTTCAATGGGACTAGATTTATTATATGTTAAGCTATGTGAAGTACAGATTTGGGTTAGTTTATGTGTAAATTAAGGGAGCTATCAGCCAGTAAACTTTTTGTAGTCATTTGCTACAAAACTTGCGCAAAGGAACTGTAGGAAAAGCCACTACTGTGCCTGGAGTAAAACAGATAACATCAGTAGTAGAACAATTTCTACATGGTTACCTATCTTAATGTAAAACTCAAGACTTCCGTTTACTCTTACATTATATTTACCATTTTAATATTGAATGCATTGAAATGTCTAACCCCATATATCCAGGGTAAGGAGTATATATTTAATATTTCATTATATTATAATTTATACAGTCATATATAATTGAAATTATAAGAGTACTGCTTACCTTGGGTATTAATCTGATGATCAAACTTTATATCTTAAGAAAGTTTAAGGCCAAAGAATAAATCTAATATATATTTTTCCATGATCTGTAATAAACAACTCTCTTAATCAAATATACTTTAATAGTGTAAAAATCTAAAAATGAAATTTCTCCAAAAAGATGCCATTGCTTTAGTTCAAGAGGGTAGGAGTACCAGGGTCTTGATCTGAATATTTGGATGACATTACACTCAGTTTACATAATGGTGTAGATCATGTTCACCATAAGGCATCTTAAATAGTACCGGGAATTCCCGTATTTAAGCCTTCCCGTTATAAAGACGATAGGTTAATAACAAGGTTATTTTAGAGTGGTCTCCCTATTAAATTTTCAATTCACATTGATGGAGTCTGGTCGAATTGGCTTACATTATGATGTTAGCGCCATGAGAGGGTTTCACATCTTTAAAACTCATTGGTTTTTCAAATGCCTCCAATATAATACTGTGTACATTCTGTACTAAACATTGTAATAGTCATACTTAACATAAATGGGTTATTCTTACCATAAGTGCTAATCTGCCAATCACCAAAACATGACAACCAGGTTTGCTCCTAGCAGAAGAATTCTTTTAAGAATTAACTATTCATTAACCCTATAAAGTAAATTTAAAAAATAATGTTACTTCAATATTAAATGAAAATAACTTATGTTTCTTTAAGTTTATTGTCAAATCCTTTAATTGCATACACGATATCCATCAGATCTGACAAGAACCATATATCCACGCCACCGAGAATGGGTGGATCTTGGAACTTATGCAGGAGGGGGTTTGCTAGGCTCCTGTTAAGGAAATTTAACAGTTGACAATGCATGCTGTCATCGTTTCTTAATGACATAGGCATACATACACAATGAGTTTTTTAAAAGAGAAATAAGAGTTTTAACATACATTATCATCACGTTGTGATTCAATTTCCTTGATGCAAAGCATTAAATGTGATGTCACACATGTCTATATCATTATTTCACACTTTCAATGCCAATCCCATTACACCATCTGATCTGATAATGAAGGATTCTATGTAGCAGAGAATGGTGGAGTTTAGACTCCCCAAACCCGACTATGGATCCACCCCTGACGATTTAATAAAAATGACAAGACCGTTCTTTGTTCATCAAAGGATAACCATACATCAGGATCACACTTTGCAAATTTTTGAACCATTGCGGTTTTCAAATTGCAATTTATTAGAATTAGAAGAATGTCATTTAGCGAGACAATTGCAACACTCAAATAACTGTTAGTTAAAGATCTAAATGGAAGCTCTACATATATCCTACATGGTTTTGACAAAATATGCTATTTTCAAAGTTGTAATAAAGCTGAGCTGTATCACATGGTCAAATTAATACAAATGCTAGGCGATTTATGCAGTATATACCGTTTCCTAGAAACTGGAAGTCTCGCTGTTGCGTGTAATTTCTAAGTCTTGAATAATCTGACAAAATTTTGTTGCACTTCCTAATAAAAATAGTAACAAGACATCACTGGTTCGCATGTTGAAAACACTGATTTTCCGGATGTCTGACATTGAACTGGCTAAGATACATCAGTTAAAGTGAAAAAATTATCGAAATTTCTTCGAAATTTTGTTACAGACAAACTGACTCAGAAAGCAGTACATTACTTACCATGTTTACAGCATCAAAAGATTACCACATTCATTTTGTCACACGCATAGAATGGTGGGCAAATCCTTCTTGCCACACCTACTTCCACAGTCCTATCGGTGGACTATGGCGAGAGTCCAAAAATAAATACATTGAAATAATGTAAGTGGTCCAAAAAGAGCCTCAATCTTGGAAAAAAGTTGAAAAATCCTTAAATTACTGAAAATGCTCTTCTATTTTTCTTTCTTTGGAGAACAGCTGAATGGATCTTTCTGAAACTTCTTGTACAGAAGGTTAGGTAACCAAACAACTTGTTAAAACTATCCCGACAATGATCCAAAAACCGGAAGTAGTCGAAAAAATATCCGATATTTTGAGAAAAAACCCCCATAAAAAGTGAAAACAAATGGTGATCTTGCGAAAAAAGTTATTACTACGTAAGATTTCACCGAATCAAAACAACTAAAGTGTCATTGGAGAGCCCGAACAATGGACAATCGTATGACATCTAAATGGTAAAAATTCGCGGGTTAGGCAATATATAATGAAACGCTGAAAATCTATTATTTTCCTTTTTGGACCCTATTCAGACGCTTTTATCTCGAAAACTTATCTTACTTCCTTTCTTATACTTCTGTTACTTAGAGTCCTAACGGTGGTCTATGGTGTGATTCCAAATATAAAAGCCTCAATATAGTATAAATGATCCAAAAGGCCCACAGTCTTTGAAAAAGTCGAAAAATCGTTATATCTGTAAATATGCTTCTAATGGTATAAGGGAGGTAAAACTGTCCAATGGATCTTTCTGAAACTTCTGGTACAGGAAGTTAAGTTCCCATACCACTTGTTAAATCTATCCCGATAATGATCCGTAAACAGGAAGTAGTCAAAAAATTATTCGATATTTTTTTTTTTAAAAAAAGACAGTAAAAAATCGGTGCTCTTGCAACAATCGGGATTTCACCGTCGGGTGTGACCGGATCAAAACATCTAAAGTATCGTTTGGTAGCTCGATAAATGGGCTATTGTATGAAACACTTCCTGCCTGATTCCTGAAAGCCGGTTCAGTGCTGCTTGCAGGTCTAGTTATTCTTATTATTATTTTTTTTTGTCTGTGTTTTATCCACAAATCGGATTTCTCAGAATCTAACCATAGGATTTTTCTGAAACTTTTACCTATCCCCCCAAAAATAGGTGGTGGCTGTTGATTAAATATATTTTCAAAACGTTTTACGAATCCGAAATCACCGAATTTTACGAAAGAATGCATTTGACCTACAATGCTGTAACTTTGTGACTATTTGACCTATTTTACTAAATGTTTTTTCTTTGAGTACATTGAGACAAATACTTCAAATCTGCTATTTCGGATTTTCGAATTTCGAAAATTCGTAGCTGTGATTTCGAACCGGAAGTTGAAACCAACTTGACAACTTCTTTAATAGTTGCACGATTTTCATAATATTTAGTATGTCAGTAGATCTTACCGATGCGACTTGAAAGATGTCATTAGAAATTGTCTAAATTATCTCCCCTTGATGAAATTAAGGATCAAAATTTTCAAAAAAATCGACGAAATATAGGTCAGATTGCCTTGAAATGTTTTTTTCTGTACTAGGTACGACACTTCTGATTCGTTCACAGAAAATGGATTTTGTAGCCCATTCCGGAAGTGCTACCATCTTGTAACGTGAAAAATTACTTTGCGTTTGCGATATTTTACTTACAGACATGGGAGTTACATTTTCTGAATCCTTAAAGGAATGCCTAAAAAACGTTCAGAGCAGAATTTTGATTTAGGCCAAATGATGGTCACCATTTTGAATTGAATATGAAAAATAGTGAAATATCCACATTAATGGGCTTGAAAACATACACAATTGGTCATGGCTTAAAGAATCCCTATCCTATTACCGAAATTAATACATTTCAGGATAGCCCGGCTCATGGTCGAATGTTTGGTATTTGAATTTCGTTTTCGCGTTTCGCAGGTTTTGACTTCGCGCATGCGCTACGCTGGAACCAAAGGTACCATGAGTACCAAATTCCGGCGAGGAACTTTTAACGTTGGTACCTAGGTACCCTGAAAATTTCATGGTGATACCTGCATTCGTTCAAGTCGTTTGTTCTTGTCACCTGCCGATCGTTTTTTTTTTCTAAGTCAATTTACGGCTTCCATGAGGGGAAAAAAGTGGAATTTCGCCGCGACACCGGCACCGATTGTCCGAAAACCATGAAATTTGGACACAATACGCCCATTACCACCCCGGACCCCCATTTTGATCTCATTAAAAAAAAAGACTTTTAGCAAAAAACCGATTTTCGGAATTTAATATTGGTTTTAATTAATTTTGAAATTGCAAATGCAAAGGGATCTTATGGCCTCTTCCGTATGTGATTGCTATTAGTACTATACACATTATCCTTAAAAGACATTTTTTTTAAAATGACCGCAACACTAAAAACCGAAATCGCCTATGTTGACTTTATCATACATTAAATATTATATGCATGCGGTTAATTTTTATACGCCCACATTGAAATGTGGTCGTATATTGTCGTCGCCCCCGTCTGGCCGGCTAAAGTAAATATCCGATTACTTTAAAGATACATTATGGGAGATTTTTTATAGAGAGTTGGCCATTCTTGCTATAACAGTTCAAATGTAGATGATGAAAGAAGAATATATTGAAAATTTCAGTCAAATTACTTTATTCTGAACATAGTTATCATCGTTGTAATATTTGACTAGAAATGGTAGCGAAATGCATCTTCACCTTGGCCGATCGTTTGATTGACAGGCGTTAACTCCACCTACATATCTCGATTATCAAGTAAAGTTTTCAATGGCATACGGAAACCCTCTACAGCGGCCTCGCTAAGTACACTCTATCATTTAGCCTCGTGTGTGAGCCCTTTAAAAGCATGTTTTCAACTGTGAAACGTCAATCTGTCGTAATTTGTTGTTGGACCTGTGAAGGAATCGAGCTAGAGATGCCGAAACTTACTGAAAATCAACGGAATGAAGCCATGGGAATGTCCAGGGCTGGCATGTCTACACGTGCTATTGCCAGACACTTCAATTGTCATCAGTCCACTATTGTAAGGTTGGTGGAACGTGTTCGAGTTACTGGATCAACACGTGACCGTCAACGTCCTGGTCCACAACGCATTACAACCCAGGCTCAAGACCGCTACATCCGGGTCACTCATCTGCGTGACAGATTCCGCCCAACGACTCGAACAGGTGCAGCAGTCGTCGGAAGACAAGGACCAGTAAGTGCCAACACCGTAAGACCTCATCTAAGAGAAGTAGGACTCCGTGCACGACGACCTTATGTTGGAGATATCCTCAGGGATCATCACCGTCATCGGCGTTTGATATGGGCTCAAGGACACCAGACATGGAGAAGAGTAGACTGGCAAAGTGTGCTCTTCAGTGATGAAAGTCGATTTCATCTTTATCACGCTTATGGCCGTCAACGTGTGTGGAGACATCTTCGGGAACGGCTTGCAGACTGTTGTGTCATCGAAACGAATCGATGGGGTGGGGGAAATGTAATGGTGTGGGGAGGCTTCACATTTCATCACCGGACCGCCCTACACATTTGCAGGGGTCGCGATAATGATGTAACCTACCGTGATGATGTCCCGCGGAGGACAAACGCGCTACTGACATCTGTGTCGTACTTTTGGTTTTGACCCCTCTGACTTTGTACCCTTGATTACAGATTAAAGATCCATAAGTGTACAAATGTGTTGTTATTGATGTGTTTCCATTTGAATATTGTTCACAATAAGAAGCAAAATAAATAAGATATGTTTACAGGATCATTTTGTTATACGAAAAACTAAGTGATGCGTTTTCCGGCGCTCAGTATAGAATGGATCCATACGATCATACAGATACCACAAAATGTTTTCTATCTTGTACGATTGCAGAGAAATAGACAATTTTCAAGGTTCTTGGTCTATAAAAGTGGCAATTAGGCTTTCAGATTACTAAAGTTTCAGAAAGATCCTATGGTTAGATTCTGAGAAATCCGATTTGTGGATAAAACACACACACACAAAAAAATAATAATCTTAACAGAAACAATAAGCTTTCATATGAAATATGAACGGCAAGTGACCTGGGTACCATGAACAAACGACTTGAACGAATGCAGGTATCACCTTGAAATTTTCAGGGTACTAGGTACCAACGTGAAAAGTTCCTCGCCGGAATTTGGTACTCATGGTACCTTTGGTTCCAGCGTAGCGCATGCGCGAAGTCAAAACAAGCTAAACTCGAAAAGAAAACAACCTTGTTGGCACCGAAAACATCAAAGGCGAAATTGGAATTTTTGAAATATTCAAATACCAAACATTCGACCATGAGCCAGGCTATCCTGAAATGTATTAATAAAAAAATGTAATAATTTCGGTAATAGGAGACACATTCTCTAAGTCACGACCAATTGTGTATGTTTTCAAACCCATTAATGTGGATTTTTCACTATTTTTCATGTGAATTTTTCACTATTTTTCATTTTCAATTCAAAATGGCGCCCATCAGTTGACCTAAATCAAAATTCTACTGCCTACATTTTATGGGTTTCCCTTCAAGGATTTGGAAAATATAATCCCCTTGTCTGTAAGTAAAATATCAAAAAAGCCTTAGCGATATTTCACATTTCAAGATGTTGGCACTTCCGGTTTGGGCTACAAACTCCATTTTTTGTGTTCGAATCAGTAGTGTCGTAACTAGTAAAGAAATACAATTTCAAGGCAATCGGACCTATATTTCGTCAATTTTTTTTAAAACTTTGATCCTTAATTTCATCCAGGGGAGATAATACAGAAAATTTCTAATGACATTTTTCAAGTTGTATCGGTAAGATCTACTTACATACTGAATTTCATGAAAATCGTGCAACTATTAAAGAAGTTGTCAAGTTGATTTTAACTTCCGGTTCGAAATCACAGCGACGAATTTTGAAAATTCGAAAATCCGAAATAGCAGATTTAAAGTAAATGATTCAGGGTACTCAAAGAATTTTTTTTTAGTAAAATAGGTCAAAAAGTCACAAAGTTACAGCAATGTAGGTCAAATGCATTCGTTCGTAAAATTCG